TGAGTTAGGTTGTGAAATTATATGAATTTAGTTATTGTTAATTTATTAGAAAATTAGTGTTAGAATGGCACTTTAAAAGTAAACATAAATTCATGAAAATTAAAACTAAACGTTTTGCCCTATTTTAAAACTTAAATTTCCATCTGTTGTCAAAATGGCAAAGACGAAGAATTAAAACCTTATATTCTAACTATTCTTCTAAAAGCTGTTTCAAAAAAATAAAGTCATATCCAGTTGCAAATAAATCCAGTATTTAAAAAATTATTTGGAAAAATATATTCTTTTGGCATAAATGTGCTGTTTAGAAAGATTGTAGTATGTGGGACTGTCGTCATGCGAAATGGAGAGTGGTTTATTACTCACTGTGTAATAAGCAGGTAGTCTCTCTGCCACCTATGAAAAAGTAAATAATGTAGTCATAAGGCATAACATACTTTTAAAAAGTTATTATATTAAATAGGTTACTTATACTAAAGAATTACCAATCTATCTCAAAACAGATTCGCCCTGATCTATAAAAGATTAAACTAAAATTAATTGTAATAAAGATTACATTTTATATTAGTAACATTTTGATTTTTAATCCGAAAATCGTTTTCGAAGCAGTCTCTGCATCTCATTCTAATTTGCCAGGTTTATTGATCACGTGACCTAAATGACCAGTGAGAAGATCACGTGGTCCATATACTTGACATTTTAGACAGAAATTCAGGGACTGCCTTGCGTAAGTTTTCTCTGTCGCACTGCGAAACTGCGACTGTATTGTAGAAGTCAGTCTATCTTGTATTATATGTATCATCATCAGCCCATAGTCGTCCACTTCTGAACATAGACCTCCCGAAAAACCTCAATTCAGATCTATCCTGCTGCTGCAATCCAGTTGGTACAAATCCATCTTGTGCGTGGTCTTCTCGAGTTTCGTCTGTCCGCTCTCGGTCTCCAATCCAAGATTTTTTGGTCCACCTATTATCATTCATTCTAGCGACGTGTCCTGCCCACCTCCATTTAATTTGGCTATGTGTTTTTACATAATTTCTTCTACGCCACTTTTTCTACGGATTTCTTCGTTTCTTACCCTATCTCGCAATGTTATAGTCCAAAAATGATCTTTCCATTCTACGTTGCATCGCTGTAGTTTTCGTGCAGATGTCCTTGTTAGGATAAGTGTCTGTGCGCCATATGTAAGGACAGGCAGGACACACTGATTAATGGCTCTTCTTTTTAAGCTGATAGGTATATCACCTTTAAAAACATCACGCAGTCTTCCATATGCTGCCCATGCCAGTGTTATTCTTCTTAGAAGCCCAGCAGTTTGATCATCTCTGCTAATTTTTACCGTATGTCCAAGGTATATGTAGCTGTCAACAATTTCAGTTTTGTCGTCTTCTACCCTTAAAGGATGGCTCGGAACTAAATTAAAGTTCCGAGTATATGTATATGCTAAAATAAAACTATGATCTTAACCTGTAAGTGTGTATAATTGGGTGATGTGTGGTAATACCAATTTGACAGTTGACTGTCTTGGCTATGATATCATATACATTGGCCATGTTTTTTGAGTAAAATATTGTACTCTTATGGTGTGGATATCAAATTATGATTTTTCTGTGCTTATTGTAGTTAACTATAGATAATATGTCTCTGATTTGCTATTTAACTCATTAGTGTTAGTATAATCTTATTGCATACTTCTTCTTTCAGTACTGTTCACCAGATGGTGTTAAACTATATTAAGACAACTTTTTTTTTTCGTCTTTATAGAGTGGGGTCTGGAATCTTCAAAGACATCTCAGTTCAGGACGCCACCTGATTGACCTTGTGCAGGATTCGTTCTTCGTATTCCCGCGATAGTTCCCGAGGTACTTTAAAATCCCTATCATCGCTAAGTCTACGCCGAACGCCTACCTTCTAAACCAGACCCTCCTCTATCATCCAGCGATCCGGAAGCGAAATGACTGCAGTAAGGGCCGGCATCACTACCTTCATTCATCCACAGACAGTCATCAAGTAGACTCCCAGTTTTGCTCCAGATAGTGCGTGGCAGACCCTTATCGCTCTTAGTACGGCATAACTCCTAGACAGGCATTTTTTTCCTTCCCCACAGTCCTGACTCACACAGTCTCTCGTACAGTCTGACCCACTTTTCTACCTTCAACTTCCAGCATCTTTCCCTCTTACCTATATATATATATATATATATTATATATATAATATATATAATATATATATATATATATATTCTATATATATATATATATATAATATTATATATATTATATATATATACTGTGTCCGTTAAGTATGGAACAAATTCTTTTTTTTAGCTAAACAGAGCATTTTAAGAAATAATCCTAAAACACGTCGATTTTTAATTTTAATGGACCGTATTTTAAAATAATATAATATATTATATTTATATATATATATATATATATATATATATATATATATATATATATATATCGAGAAAAATATTGGTTTGCTTAAAATATTTCAAAGTTCACAAAATTAAAATAATTGAGATAAGTCGAATAATAAACTCACAAACATTTCGAAGAATGAAAGTCCTTTATCTTTGGATTACCTATATTGAACAAAACGTAAGATATGCATAAGTTATTTTCTTTGTTAAAATATATTAAGTGACGTGAGGAGCTTAAGTGAAATCGTAGACAATGGAAGCGGATTTTCCAAATAAATTTATGCAGTAATTAGGACAATAGAATAGATTTTAGATATGTTTTTGTTAGTTCATAAGAATTGGTAGAAAAAGATTAGTTTGTAAATAATGTTCGGAAATTTTATAATTGTAGGTAAAAATTTGTTTGTGTTATCGAAATGAAGAAATTTGAGATGTATGACGCGTTTTGATTGGATGAGATTGAAAAAGGTGGGATGGTTGGTTTGAGAATGAGACTTTAGTTAGTTTTTGAAAAAAAAAATATATAGTCAGTTGGTTTTCAAGGGTGCATGGCGAACGGCCGTTGTTCTCGGGTAGTTTCCCAAAGGTAGGAAGCAGTAGCAGTGAAAGTTTGTGAGTTTTCGTGTAGTTAGTGTATCTGACAGAAGCTGATCCAGTAAAAGATTGTAAGTCATATTTTGTACTTATATTCCAAGAGTCACTGTTCAGGCCAACGAGAGATTCAGTTTATCGTAAAAGAGAAGATATTCAAGAGTCATTTTTCACTCAGGCCAACGAGAGATTCAGTTTATCGAGAGGAGAAGAGGCTAGCATAATTTGAAACGATTCGTGCATTTGAAGGAGATCATTAAGGACGATAAACTTGCAACAATTTGTTGTAAGATTGCTGGATTACCTAGGGAGCTGCTAATAATAGATAGTATAGGCTACAAGGAACAAGGATTTGCACACACTCATCATCAGAGAGAGATAGTTTTTGTTTTTCTGCAGTTTTTCTTTATATTGATAAACACAATTTTTACAATTACTTTAGAAAAGATATAAATATTTTGATTAGGAGATTTAGAATAATAATTGGGATATTGAGATTTTAACTATATATTGTTTGTACCATTAATTTTGAAGGGTTCACGTACGTAGAACAAAATTATTGAGAATCATTATATGAGATATTGTTTATTGAAAACATTTGAGTGTGAATTTTATTTCATTATTTTTATTTCAATATATAATGTTATATCATATATGTTTTTTATTATTCCGGTATTCTTTGGACCTTACCTTTTCACATGTTAAGCATAGATATTGAAGCACGAATATAACCCTAAGATAAGAGAATTAAAAAGTGTGATAGAATCATAATCATATCATTTAAATAAATTTATAATTAATTAATTAATTAATTAGCTAATTAATTGCTTGGCGCACTAAAGACTTTGAATATCACAATAATAATATATATATATTTATATATATATATAAATATATATATATATATATATTATCAGCGGGACTATCAGCAGGACCAATCATCGAACAAAAAGACAAAAGACGGAATCTAATCGTTATGAAAAGGAGACCAAAAAAGTGGCCTCTGATGGCGGACATATCCGAAAATGCAAAGGCGCTAAATTTAAATTTTTCCGACACTTATTAACAATAGCTATAAAATATTTTTCAGACGAGAAAGTTTTAATTAAATATTAACGACGATAATCTAAAAAATGCACAATTGGTAAAAAACTTCAATATAAATAAAATTTCATGTGACAGTTGGGACAAACAATAACATAACCAAACTAAATTTGATTTCTTAAACAAGGAAAGAGACTGTCTTTCCTTGTTTAAAGTGGCCTCTCAAGATAGCACTTCCTGTCTAACAATATTTTTGTCCCCACTACCTTTACATTCCCTCTTTTGTCTTTTTGCTCGATGGGACCAATACAAGCGCGTACTTAAAACTCAACTACTCCCACAGTTAAAAAAATAATATTTTAGTGATCAAAATTGAATTATGAAAATTGATCTTATCCACAATTCGACACCTCACCATTATCAGTATCAATACTATTGAGAGCGTATGAAAATTAACTAAGCGAGTTATTACCAAAGAAGTGATCACCACCAAGCTTCATTAATTAAAGTTCGCATTACGGAATGATATCACTACACATAGAGAGCATGTTCGGTTGCTTCTCTCTAACTGTAATTAAAGCAACTATTGGTATCACTAAATAATTAACATAATTTTTACCTAATTTTTTATAACGGAAATAAATACATTTGCTCACAAAACTTGTTTTCATAATCTCAATATACTCAATATACAAAGATACTCTTTTGTATATTGACAAAAAAAACCAACTATTTATAGAAAATACAGAAATTTGTGTACTGTCCATAATAATTTGGCTTTCCACTGTATGCAATGATATTAACTTACCTTTGTAGCTTGCATTAACTGTATCCAGTGTCGTTCTCTAATGGCCGGATTTTGCAATTCCGTTACAGCCCTCAGAGAGGTTAACATATTTTTGATAGTCGCTTCAAGCTGAATATATACGTCCCAACCTTTAACCTCTTTATCCATCTGTCGAATTTCTTTACCGAATTTTTTGCATTCCATTTCCATACCTTCAACATCAATTTTTTTCCACGCCGTATCCTTCCACTCCTCGATGCAAGACATGACCACATTTACGTAATCCCACATTTGTTTGATTTGTCGAATTTCTTTCCTAAAATTCGACAAAATTTGATAAAGTACCTATATTATACAGGGGAAAGACTATATTTGAACAAGGAATATTATTTGATTTGTATATTTACTTTTTTTTTTATTTTGTTGCAGGGGCGGCACTTGGATAGTACTTATAATGAAATTAAGTCTATACGTTCCTTTTTATCACTAAAACTTTTTAGTGATAAGGATTAGAAAATATGACGTAAATATTCTTCTTCTTCTTCTTGTAGTTCCTTCTTCTATCGGAGGTTGGCTATCATCACAATTATCCGTACCTTATTGGCGGACAGAATATTGGCCTAAATATTTCAGCTTTCATGTTGTGTTGTGCTTTATGACCTCGCAATCCTTTTGTGGCCTTTTTAACACTCCTGCATTTATAACTCGTTGGGTCCATGGTATTTTCAAAATCCAGAATCCTATAGTACCACATCTCAAATGATTTCAACTTCTTTATATTATCCACTTTTAGTGTCCAGATTTCCATTTCATACAGCATTGTTTTTATTTTTATAAATGCTTGTCTTGCAATTTTAATGAGTGTCCTTATTTCTGTATCCTTGGTCATTGTTTTCATTTACCCAGGTTACCAGATATTTGTAGTTACTCACTCTTTCTACTTGTTTTCCCTCGATATCTAGCCTTCCTAGCGTTTGTTGCTTAGAAATAATCATGCACTTGGTTTTCTTAACATTCATTAGTAGTCCATATTTTATACTGACCTGATGTAATCTATTTACTAAGAGTTGCAGTACTTCTAGACAGTGTGTTCATTCATAAAAACTCGCGTGTCGTCTTCGAATCTTCCTCGAAACGTTGTTCAAGATTTTTCCGTTTATTGATATACCCTGATGTTTCTCTGATGTGGCTTCGTTAAAAATAGCTTCGCTATACAGATTGAATAACAATGAGGACAGCACGCAACCCTGCCTAACACCTCTTTTGATTTCTATAGTTGTGGTATCGACATTTTTGATTCTAACCTTTGCTTTTTGATTCCAGTACAGATTGATAAAAACCCGTTGATCTCGACTATCCACATTATTTTCTTTTAACATTTTAACGAGTTTCTGATGTCGTAGTCTATTAAAAGCCTTTTCATAATCTATAAAGCATATTTAGAGATCCTGGTTCATATCTAGTCGTCTTTTCGCGAGAACGTTAAAAGCGAATAGAGCCTCTCTCGTTCCTAGTCCTCCTCTGAATCCAAACTGGGAGTCATCTATATGTCTATCTTCTTATTTTTTGTATATTCTTCCATGTATTATCTTGCGAAATATCCTAAGTGTGTGGGCTTATTAAGGAAATTGTTCTGTACTGGACACTGAACTGCTTTTGTCGATGTACTGACTTTATTAGTGGTACAAATGTGGACAGCAACCAATTACTCCTGTTGTATATACTTTGTTGACCAGATTTTATAAAAGTATATGTATATAAGCAGTATATGTATATGTAAAAGTATATATCTGACCTGGGTCTACTGATTTTGCGGTCGTTGCGATTTCTAATTGCCTGTTCTAATTCGTACATTATTATTTTCGGTCTGGTTTGTTCCTGTGGTTTCATCTTGTAGCATTCTATCATCTTGAGTAGTTTCATTACGTATTTTTGCCAAAATCTAGTTGATTTTTGATGTCTGCAATAAGTTTACTATTATCATTTTTGAGTATCCCATAGTGTGCTCACTTTTTGGTATTTGTTAGTTCTTTAATTTTTTTATGCATATTAAAGCTGTCGTATTTTTTGTCATACTCTTCTATTTCTATGCATCTGTTAACCACTTTTCCTTGTCCTTTTTTAATCTCTACTTTAATTCTAAGAGGCTCATTTCTTCCTTTTCTTCTCTCTTCCATAATTAGTATGATATTTCAAAAGACGTTGGATAGTATATTCAACAATTTTATTGTCTTTGCTAGAAGAATAAAAACCATGGACGTATAAACATAGATGGACTCAGCTATTTACATAAAATTGTGAAGTCAAAATTATTTGAATAGGTCACATTACTCAGCACCTTCAACTGTTGTCACGTTTTGTTTTAAAAGTTCTTATTCGCGAGTCGCTGAAAATATTACTCTGAATTTTATACTCTACGGTGCTATCAAACCAAAATATAATTTATTGGTTAGATTAATCATATTTATTGTAATCAAAATATAAAGTGTGCACATAGTGTGCATTATCATTTAACCCTTAAATGCCCGTGATATGAAAATAACCATAAATGCCCATGTGGGGTCTCCTAGGGACCCCACTAAAATTTTCAATTAAGTAACGTCATTTAGCACTGACTAAAAGGAAAACACGGTTTAAAAATAATTTTAATGCATATTTGAATAATTTTATTTATTTTTCATACAAAATTAACGGCTTTTCTAAAACAAATTCTTTTCAATTCGAACAAAATTAAAATTTAAATAAAATATAAGCATATAACTTTTAGTTGCAATTTTTACATACAATAGTTTGTTCTTCTTTTCTGTGCACCTGGCATATAAATTTTTGCAAAAAGAGCAAACGGTATTCACTTTTCTGTCACAGTTTCGCGGACACTGGTAACAACGAGCACGTTTTTCTTAGCTGAATGGGCGGATTGAGTTGCAACTTCGGTAGTTGGGTTTACCATTGGTATGCCACAATCTTTTAGAGCAGATTTTACATAGGCTTTATGTTTTATATATTTCGCTCCATTTTTTTCATGTTGTTTTCGAGCAAGCACAGCCCTAATTGTAACAGGAAAATACGTCTTCGTGAAAAATTATTTTTCTTCCAATCAGGATTTTTTTCAATGTATAAATATAGGCAAGTTTAGTGCACATATGTCTATAATATTCCTAAAGAGCCTGATGGCAACGAGCAGTTCTTCTTTTACAGGAATATTCCCTAATCAGTTTGTCGGCATTGTCAACACCACTCTTGGTATTATTATAGTCTAAAATCATCAAGGGTTTGTTTGAGAGTCTTGACAAATTATATCACTATCTTGAACTTGATGAGTTGGTTGACTTGAAAGAAGATGTACCATCCTGTGTAATTTTAGGTATGTACTGAAACCATAGCTAATTCTTTAGTAAAAGCAAATATTGAACGACTACCGCAGGTCTTTTTTTCAAACTTAGTTGTGGTGGTTTATCAGGTTTTATTTTTGCGGACGGTCCCAAGTTAAAGTAAGGTTTTTTAGATAAAAGATATGAGAAAGAGGAACACTGGTAAAAAAGTTGTCAGTTGTAATTCCTCTCCAACTGCCATGAGATGGTTCCACCAGATCTTTCACAACACGAAATCCCTGATTTTTTCTCTCTATACTACCACCTGGTAGTTTTCCAAGGTACACCTGAGGTTTTTGATAAATAAGATGTTTTTAACATCCGCGGCAGCACAAATTTTTATCCCTAGCGGCAAGGTTTTGATTTTATATATTGTCTAAAAGGACACTTTCCTCTAAAACTCACTAACTGTTCGTCAACGGTTATATGTTCGTATGGTTCAAAGGCTTTGTCACAGTTAGAGACGAACAGTGTCCAAATTACTCGTATCGCCGCTGTACTTATCCTGTTCCTTCCGCTCCACCCTGGTCACTTTGTCATCAAACCTCAAGAACTCGATAATTCTTCAAATCGGTTCCTAGCTAATGCGGCTGTAAAAAATGACCGGCGTATTGAGGTGTCTGTAGACATATCGCTCGTGTCGAGTCTTTCCCACACCTTAAGCACCAGCTTTGATAAGTGCTCCTAAAATGCCTATCCAGTTCATTGTGGTAAGTACCGTCCACTCTTTTTTGTAATTCGGATGTATTTTTCGTTCCCTCTTGATAACGCCTAACAGCTTCTTCATTAGTATGAAGGCATATGACATTCTTCATCTCTTCGGTCAAAAATAAATTGAAATAGTCTAAAAACGTGTTGGAATTTTACTATAGTTTGTTAAGCCTGGATGTACATTTATAATATTTTTTGTTGCCTCTTGGATCTCACGAAAGGTAGGCTATTCCACTGCATTCCAGATTTGGATGTATATGTTGGACCACTAACCTCACTAATATTTTCGTCCACTTCGGTAGGTTCGGCATCTGATTCCTCGTCACTGTTGACTTCTAAATTGTCCTCAGTTTCCGAAAACATTTTCCTCAAAAAACATCTTGCTTCTTCGCTATCTGATTCGTCGGTAATCTCATAGTCGAAATCGGAGTCGGATATTCCCTTCTTCTATATTTCGGATAATTTTTTCCATGTTCTTGGTCGCTTATTGTCATTTTCATTCTCTTACGGTCCATTTTTCAATGTAAACTGACGAAAAATGTTAAAAATAATAAAAATATTCTGGTGCCTCTAAATGCCCAATCGGGTCACAGCGAGACCCACTTATCTAAATCTATCTTACAGACCACTGCACCTCACGAATGTATTCGTGGTAGACTAACAGAAAACGTAGGAGACACGTCCACACAAATACCTGATTGCGCGTTTGCCAAATGTTTCAATAAAGATATTATAGCCAAAAATGTATGTCTGGGTCCCATAGTGACCCCGATTGGGCATTTAAGGGTTAATAATAGCGTATAATAGAATATCAATCAATTATTTTATATGTAGAGAAGCACTGAAAACTATTTTATAAATGGCAACGGTTGTTTACATTTTTTCTGTCTTATGGATGCTACGTCAAAGTTCAAATGCTGTCATGTTTGTTTACTTTTTAGTAAAAGTTGTTTTTCGATATTTTGGCTGTATTTTGAGTGATATTTGTGAAAAGAGAAATAAAATAAAACGAAATATTTACATCCCGATCTCTCATTTCATTTTTAAATACATAGTACATACAATTACATTATTTAAGATGAGGAAATGAGGAAGCGTGTTTGTTTACATAATCTGATTAAAAAAGATCTATTTAGTACCTTTTTAATTTAATATTTCTCATGGATGAAAATAATTAGTGAAATGAATAAAACTCATTTATTTATTCTATGTAGGTTTCCAAATAATATTGACG